GAATCAATGAGACCACAACAAAACTAGCACTTTAAGAAACGTACAGCAAAATAGCAAATGTATAAAATTTGTATGTAACTTCAGAGAACTGTTAAACACAGCAAAACACTGGGCTTAAAATGCCATTGCTTTTCTGAGAATTTATGCAGTGAAATGATTAGATTGGACCTATAAGGATACCGTTTTTAAGTTTTAATTTTTATTTTAATAGTAACACAATTCATAGCTTAAATGAAAACATCTGGTTTCATTTTCTTTACTGATTAGGATAGCTAGAATCCTGAGACATCAAGCATGACTGTCATTTATGCAAAAAAGTGCTTGGCTGGAGTGTAAATCTTGTACTTTTAGCTGTGCCCCTTGTAGCTAATTATTTTTAATATCCCCTCCTGGGTCCAAATAAGCTTGAGGTATAGGTATTCATTAAGAAATGCATCCTTCTCACAAAATGCCTTCAGGCACAATCCCCCTCATTCTCTCCCCAAAAAAGTAGGCCTTAATTAATTAGAATCCAGATCACTGGGATAACTGCCAATGCTGCCTTTTTTCCACCCTTCCTCAAAAGTTATGACCCAAACTCAAGGATGAAAGGCCAAATGGAGAGGAGGAGGTAACTACATGGCAGCAGGGTCAATTTCTATTACAGCTATGAACCAGACCCATTTATTAAGAGCCAGCTAATATGCTAAATGATGTTCAAAGATGGCCAGGGTCAAAGGAGAACCTCAAGTTATTCTCAATGGGATTAGGCCCCCAAAACTCTCCTCACATTGCCCGGCTGTCACCAAACATCATACACACACACCACACAAACACACACACACACACCACACAAACACACACACACACACCACACAAACACACACACACACACACACACCAGAACAAACAAAAATCCATCATTTCATTCCTCTCATTAATCAAGTAAGTCTGATGTAACAGTGTATTAGTCACGTTCACCCTTGCTAATATAAACCTCTCTTTGGCTCTGTGTATCACAAAGCCAAAAGTATAATTCTGGATCTCAACAAGTAACTATTTCTGGGACTTGTTGCAATGCATCTTCCTACTTAACAGGGCTTGATGCCTCTTTTCTTCATGGGACATTCCGTCCTAATTGGGTACTGTGCATATTATCACTGATGGCTGCAAGGTACCATAGTGTATCAATGTATTCCTTCATGTCAGACAATGTGACTTTTCAGAGAATGGAAGTTGAGGGGTTCCTCTCAATCAGTTTTATTTCATATGACCTAGATATAAAATTGATAACTCCAAAGAGAGACATAAGGGGAGAACGCAGACAGTATGTACAAATACATACCTTTCCACATCCAAGTCTCACTTCATGATGTTCCTAAATTTGAGCTGGAGGAGGCAAAATCCAGAATATACTTTCATTTATTTAAGCAAACAGAGATTAAGTCAATGGGGAAGAAGAAATGACCCACAAATCACAATTAACTACTATTTAACTTGTTAAATAAATAAAGTAGCTAACTCATATAGCCGGAATTAAAATATGTTCTGCAACCTACTTTTATGAGATGAGGGCAAATGAATAACATTCAAAATGACAGCAGGATTATATTAAAATAGGCAACTGCCAAGTTATACCATTAAATCTACATTAAGTCCAATCCCTATGCTTTCTACATGTCCAAGACTACATAGTAACCATTATTATTTATAACCCACTGAAGGTCACAGTAGTAACTGTGATATCCTAAAACTCCTACTAAATAAATCAACCCTACTAATTTATATTTGGTATAGTCATACCAATCAATATATCTCGGATTTTTTTCTCATATTTTAATTATAAACTGGCAAGTCGCATATGACAAAGCCTAATCTGTCAAAACTAGTCCTATCCTGAATATTTAAAACCATACCTGTTTTACTTTTTACAGATATGAAAAATAAAACAGAAAAGGAGACAGAACCAGACTGACAATCCAGGAAGTCATAAATGTTGCACTGTCTCACCATTAGAAACGACATACAGAAACATTTACGTTCGTCCAAATCTCACAACCCTAAATAAACAAAAACTATGCTCTAACTGTAGAAATCAAGCTGATTTCTGTTCTCCTGGCTTCCAGAATGTTCTGGTCACTGCCTTACCACTGCCTCCCTCCACTATGCACAAACATTTCCACCACTTCTGACATGCAGGGTAAGGGCAAGAAAGGAGAAAGAAAGGGAAGTCTCATGACTTCTGAAGTTAAAAAAGAGGAATTAAGTTCTGAAAAGGAGAAAGAGGGTGACAGTTTTACTTAATTCAAGTATTGAGTAAATATTATTGCTTAATTATTTTTAAAAAGAGATACTAGTGGCCATTTTTTAGGTACATGTTTCTTGATTTCATTTATGAGGATGAGATTATAATGTAATGAAACTGGGGCCAGGAGGTGGTATGATGGTTAAGGCCCCAGACTCCCACATGGCCGACTGTGGTTCAAATTCCGGATATGACAGTTTGCTTTCTCTCTCTCTCTCTCTCTCTCTCTCTCTCTCTCTCTCTCTATCTCTCTCTCTGTCTTTCTCTGGTAAGTGCACCTGCTCTATAGCAAATTAAAAATAATGATAATAGTAATAGATAAAATTTTAAATGATTATTTTTTTTAAATAATAATGTAATGAAATTTGTTCCATACACAAAAATCACTTTTCCCCTCACTCTTGACGATACTCACCTCCCTCTAAGTCAAAATTTTCATGATAGGGCCCTAACCTGTGTCCTTAAATACCACACAACCTAAATGCTAAAAAAGGGGCCTCACACAGCTGAACAAGGAAAAACACAAAGTGAAAATTTATCCCCCTTGGAAGATAAAGTAAAATATATATTAAGGAAATGGGTAATTCAAGGAACTAGAGCATTTATATAAATTCCCAGATGTTTGTGTTGCTGTCTAAACGTTTTAAAGAGGAAACAACTTTTTATTACTTCATTGTGAATACAATTTCCAAACTTCTAGGATTGGTAAGATAACACCCATTCTCAAAGTTGTCAGGTTCCTTCTGTATCCCCAACACTGTGACTATTCCAGAAACACACACACACACACACACACACACACACACACAACTCAGGTCTATAAACATGCCTGATTGTTAAACTCCCAATTCCTCCCTGAGTCTTGTGTTCATATATTCCTAATCAAGATGAGTTTATGAAGCTCTGTTAATATAACATTTCTTATTTTTCTAATAATTTCAAATATTTCAAAGCAATTAAAACAACAGTCATTTGAACATTAACAGCATGGAGAGGATGGCCATAATGCCCACACCTTCCACCGCCATCAGAAGCCTTCACTGAGAAGCTTTAGCTACTTCTGGTCATGCCAATGAATGTGGTTAAAAATCAGGTGGAAGGGAACCAACAGTTAGCGTAATGGCTATGTCGCTGGACTGCCACGTAGGCAAACGCAGTTCGCGTCCCAGACGCGGTGGCTTAAAACTCACACCAGGCATGTGTGCGTGCGTGCCCAAGATCCCGAGAGGAGAATGGAGGAGAAGGGATTACAGCATGACCATCCCCCCTGGGGGGTGATTTCTCGCTTTCTGTCTCTATGTCTCTCTCTGTCTGTCTGGCGAACGCACGCGCCCTGTAGCAAAATCCTCTCCAAAAAAAAAAAAAAAAAATCAGGTGGAAAACAGCTGAATGTACATGCTTACTCACATTACTCTCACCATCTAATGCTGAAAAAAAAAAATCAAACAATTTTCACCCAATTTGGCTTGTCTTTCTTTCCTATAAATTGCAATGCTGCCAAGTATAGGTTAGATTCTGCCAATTTTTCAGTCTTGCAAGCAAAAGGAAGTTAGAATACTTTCTCAAAATGAATGAAGTGTGTGTGTGTATTTACATTTGATTAACTCAACGACATATGAGACTTTTGTACAAAATTGCTAAAATCACAAACATACATACACGGACGCACAAATACACACACACACACACACACACACACACACTTTGTGCTACATTATAAAAAGAAAATGCAAAACTCAGAAGGAACTGAGAGGATCTAGAAGAAATATTGTTTGTAACTGTAAATGCTAATATCTACAGCCATTCACATCATGTTTCTTACTATTGTGCAATTTAGGTAGGAACTACTTAGCACCCTCCCAGATCTTAATTCTAATGTGACTCATATCACGAATGTGGTCAAGTGAGTAGTTTCAGCCTCCACAAAAATATATTTAATTTCTAGAAAAGGTCCCCAAAGCAAACTGACAAAGACAAACTCAGTTCAGAAGTGGCAATGGTCATGGTGGTCGAGTTCTACAGGAATATTTCCGATGTTGTCAAATATTATTCTGTAATGAGACTTAAATTTCTGTATTATCATCTGAGTGTCTCATTTAGGCCGGAGGATGAGGCTCTGAACTCAGGAAGGAAACACCCTGAAAGCCCCCTAGCCGTTATAAACAGTAATCACGGAGCCAGCTAATCAGCCTCCCTCAGACTTAGCTGCTTTTCAAGAGAGACAAAATATTGAGAGAGATTTTTCATGATAAATTCTGGAAAATTGCTCTACCGAGGTCTTTAATACCTCTTTTTCCCAAAGCTAGGAAAATGGTGGGCCTAGTTTAATAACGAGTGCTGATAATCAAGAGCCAAGATGCTGTTGCGGATGAAAAGTGAAACTCTGGTGTGAAGAATAAGAGCTCAAGACACATTATCCACAGGAATCAACCATGTTACACTCATGGTAACCGACACTTTGGTCATATGCATCAGAAAGAAGCCTTAAAAATCATGCAGGCCATTAAGTACCCAGGAATAGATAAACACCTAAAGGCTAAAAGGTACACAATGAAGCACTATTCATAATAGAAAATAATGGAAACTAACTCAAACATTCAACAATAAGAAATTTCGTAGACAAAATGTAGTATATTTGGTTCTCTTGCTGCAGCTTCGCGAGGGGGAGTACCAGGAGCTGTGCTCGGAGGGAGACGCCAGGGACCGTTTCAAGAAGATGGCAGACAAACAGGACATGGGGGAAATCGCCACCTTCCAAAAGGCCAAGCTGAAGAAAAGGGAGATGCAAAAGAAGAAAATTCTGCTGACCAAAGAGACCATTGAGCAGGAGAGAGCGGAGTGAAATTTCCTAAACTCCTGGAGGATTCCCCGCCCTGTCAAATTTCAACCCCGGTTGTGACATGGAGGAAGAGCCGCCTGCCAGATGGACACGTGCCACAAGCTGCGCTGTGAACCCCCAGGGCACTCCATGCCGCTGTCATCTGCTAACATTTTCATCAGTAAAGACCATGGGACACCCCCCCATCTGACTGCCAAATTCTCTGGTGTGCCCTGGAGTATTATAGAAAATTATTTGTATGACTAACAAAAATAAAACACATCTAGGTGCATGGCAAAAAAAAAAAAAAATTGTGGTATATTCTTTAATATATGACAACACAGAAATTTTTAAATCTCATTATAACACAATATTTAACAACATAAGAAATTTTTATGTATATTATTTAATAAGAAAGCCAAGTTAAAATATTACAATACAACACATGTTTATACTACTTTCAAAGGTTTAGAACAATAGACACCAATAACAACAGCATTATCTCTGGGTGATAGCAGAAAAAGTACATTTTATTTCCTTTTTTGTGCCTTCCTGTTTTTTCCAAACTTTCTACAATAAAATATATTATTTTAAAATTCGGGAACCAGCAGTTAGCGTAATGGCTATGTCGCTGGACTCCCACGTAGTCGACCGCGGTTCGTGTCCCAGATCCGGTGGCTTAAAACTCACGCCGGGCGCGTGTGCATGCGTGCCCAGGATCCTGAGAGGAGAATGGAGGAGAAGGGATTGTGGCATGGCCATCCCCCTTGGGGGGTGATTTCTCGCTTTCTGTCTCTATGTCTCTCTCTGTCTGTCTGGCGAGCGCACGCGCCCTACAGTGAAAATCTCTCAAAAAAAAAAAATCTATGTTTATAATCTGAATAAATTTTATTTTTAAAATTAACCACATCTGTGGGACTAGTAGATGGCATGATGATTATGTCACTGGACTTCCACGTAGTCGACTGTGGGTTGAGTCCTGGGATCTAATGGCTTAAAACTCATGCCAGACACGTGTGAGTGTGTGCTCAAGGTCCTGAGAAGAGCATAGAGGAGAAGGGATTGCGGCATGGCCATCCCCCTGAGAGGTGATTGCTCACTTTCTGTCTCTCTGTCTCTCTAGCAAGTGCATGCACCCTATAGCAAAAATCTCTTAAAAAAAAAAAAAAAAAAGCCATGTGTGACTCTTTGAAGGAAATAGTTTCTTTTCTTCCTTTTTGTCCTGTTTTGCCACTTACCTTCTAAAATTTTACCAGATTTTCTGACTGCACCTGAATCCTTTTCCTGATTAAATAAAGTGGAAACAGTCTCAGAGGAAATTAGATGATAAGAGTCAAATGCCTCATAAGTTCATGTTCAAAGAAGTCAAGTCAGACCATGAGTGGCCAAAAGAATTTGGTGATGAAAACGAGCCACTAAGTGGATTATTTACCCTGATCTTTACTGATGAAAATGTTAGCAAGCTTTGTGTTCTTCAATTACATTTTGAAATTATGGAATTATGGCATTTCATTCATTTACTCATTCAGTCATCACGCACTTACCAGGTCCCTCTTACGCGGCTACGTGGTACCAGGACTGGAAAACAGAAAGCAAGTCTAGTACTTGAGGTCAAGCCTTCTCAGTTTGCTGAACACATGGCTAACCTGATAATTCTTAGGGAACCCACTCTTCCTCATCCTTTCTCTTCTTCAGCCACAGCAGTTTTTCATTAAATATTGGCCTTTTGTCAATGTCATATTTGAATAAAGCATCACTTGGCTTAAAAAAATTAAGAACTTTGAACTCTCTGCTCAACTGTGCCTGGATCAAACGGATGCCCCAGAATTGAGTGGCATCCATAACCATTCAAATTAACTGGTTAATTTATCAGATTTCAAATTAGTCAAATTCTTTCCTCTTCATATAATATGTTATCATTTATGCCTCTTCTATATCTGCTTTGAAGACTTCCTGTCAACCTTTCCCACCTGTGGGCACCAGACTCCCAAAATGTATTCGAATCCTTAATCTTTGCTAGTAGAGGATGACCACATCCTTGTCAACACTGTCAGAGGCTGTGAGGCTGTTTTCTTAGGCCACCTGACTCTAATCAAGTGGTCTAGCTCTTTCTCCTAAATATTGGTCTAGGGAGGCTTCATAAGGACTATTGGAGAACTCCTTTAAAATGGAAAGTTCAGGCCTCACTTCCAGAAAATTTGACTAGTAAAGCAGATTTTTATTTTAATAAGCTTCCTAGAAACTTGGTAAACACTGTTAGAAGACAAAGCTGCTAGCTAGGGCAGAGAAGGCTCAGAATGTTGTTAGATCTGGAGACCTGGGCAGAGAAAGTTCAGAATGTTAGATGTGAGGAGCCCATTGGGCATCTGTTACAGCAGGTTTTTAAAATTCACCTATGAATATGTCTCACTCACTAGGCCTAAAGCTTATTTTTGGATAAGGTACTTGCCCTAATCTTTGTATCTACAGGCTCAGTGCAATTCTACTGTGTCCAATAAATGTTTTGGGTTAAATTAGTTATCATTAAATTAGTTATCATTTTTGGAGAGGTTTTTGCTATAGGTTGCATGCACTCACTGGAAAGACGGAGACAGAAAGATAGAAAGCGAGAAATCACCGCCTAGGGAGGATGGCCACGCCGCAATCCCCTCTCCTCCATTCTCCTCTAGGGATCTTGGGCACACACGCACATGCACCCAGCGTGAGTTTAAGCCACCGAGTCCAGAACTCAAACCACGGTCGACTACATGGGAGTCCAGCGACATAGCCATTACACTAACTGCTGGTCCCAAATTAATTAATTTTCAAAAGGGCACCAATTCATCAAATTTGATCCTCTTGGGCCCAGTCATAGTGGCACAGGCGGTAGGATGCTGCTGAGTAAAACAGGAACCACATGGTAAGCGCAGTTCAGATCCTAGATCCTGGGTCAATCTGAATATGCTAAGTGCCTGTATACCTGTCTAACTGCAAGACAGAGGGTAGAACTGTGGTATGGGAAGACCCTGTCCGGGATCTTTTTCAAGAAATAATTAAGAAAAAAAAAAATTGGGACAAGCGGGGGCTGGCAGTCGACATGGTGGTTAAGGATGCTGGACTCTCACATGACCAACCATGGTTCGAGTCTCAGACCTGGCAACTTACTTTCTCACTTTTCCTTCCTTCCTCCCTCCCTCCCTCCCTCCCTTCTTTCCTTCCTTTCTCTCTCTCTCTTTCTCTTTTTCTGGTCAAATTTAAGTAAATAAAGTTAAAAAAATAATTATTTTTTAAAAATTGGGACCAGGGCCAGCAGGTGGTGTGGTGGATAAGGGCGCTGGACTCCCACATGGCTGACATGGTTCAAGTCTCGGACCTGGTGGCTGGCTTTCTCACTTTCCCTCTCTCACTCTCTCTCTCTGTGCCTTTCTGGTCAAATTAAAAAATAAATAAATAAAATGAATAAATAAATTAAATTAAATAAATAATTCTTTTTTAACAAACAATTGGGACCAGCAGGTGGCACAGTTAAAGCTCTGGACATAGCCAACCAGGGTTCGAGTCCTAGACCCAGCAGCTTGAAAATCATGTGGGGTGTGTGTGCATACATACCCAAAATCACGAGAGGAGAATGGAGGAAAAGGGTCTGCAGTATGGCCATCCCCCTGGGGAGTGGTTTTTCTCTCTCCTTCTGTCTCTCTCTCTCCAGCAAGTGCACATACTCTGTGGTAAAAAAAATCTTTAAAAAAAAATCTTGGGGGTGGAGCCAGCATTTGGCATGGTGATTAAAGTGCTAGACTCCCACATGACCAATCATGATTCAAGTCCTGGACCTGGCTGCTTGAAAATCACTCCAGGTATGTATGTACTTGTGCCCCAAAATCCTGAGAGGAGAATAGAGAAGGCATTATAGTGTGGCCATCCCCCTGGGGAATGATATCTCTCTCTCTCTCTCTCTCTGTGTCTCTCTCTGGTGAGCACACACACCCTATAGCAAAGTATTTTAAAAAATCTTGAGCCCAGGAACCAGCAGTTAGCATAATGGCTATGTTGCTGGGCTCCCACGTAGTCAACCGCGGTTGGCGTCCCAGACCCAGTGGCTTAAAACGCACGCCAGGCATGAGTGCATGAGTGCTCAAGATCCCGAGAGGAGAATGGAGGAGAAGGGATTGCGGCGTGGCCATCCCCCCTGGGGGGTGATTTTTCACTTTCTGTCTCTATGTCTCTCTCTGCCTGGCGAGTGCACGCGCCCTATAATGAAAATCTCTCCAAAAAAAAAAAAATCTTGAGACCAGCAGGTGGCATGGAAGGTAAGTGCTAGATCCCTCATAGCCAACAATGTGGTATAAGTCCCAGACCCAGCGACTTGAAAATCATGCCAGGCATATGTGCATGCAGGCCCAAAATCCCAAGGGGAAACTAAAGGAGAAGGGATTGCAGAATGGACCTCTCTTGTGAAGGATGACTTCTCACTTTCCCTCTATTTCTCTCTCCCTCTCTCTGACACTCTGGAAAATGCACATACTCTATAGCAAAACCTAGAGAGAAAAAATCTAATCCATGGGCTTGCCCAGTTAGCACAGTAGTTAAGTGTTGTGCATTGGGAACCAGATCCCACATGACCAACCACAGTTTGAATCCCAGCCCTGGTGGCTTGAAAAATATCTTAGGTATCTGTCCATGCTTGCCCCAAAATCCTGATAAGAAGGAGAAATGGAGCATGACCAAACCCCACTGGATGGTGTTCAGCTCGCTCGCTCACTCTCTCTCTCTCTCCTTCTCTCTGAAAACTGTGCATGCTCTCTGACAATAAAAAAAAAAAATAGAATTAAATTTTAAAATAATGATCCTATTGAACTAGGAGATTTTTCCCCATCAACAAATTATTAACAAATCTGTTATTAGAGTTTGTATGCTTTTTTCCTTCACAATTTAAGTAAGTTAAAGAATTAGAAACAGCTTTTTAAAAAGCTTTTGTTACAGTGCTTTTGGGTTTTAAAACACTCTGTGAAGTAACCAGGATAAGAATAGCTACCTAACTGTCTTAG